GACTATATTATTTTCAAAAGTATCTGATGTTAAATAAACTCACAATATGTCACATACTCCTCCACTTTGAAAAACTACTGAAGGACATACGTACTCTTGTAAAATTTCCAAAATTTTACATCCACATTGTGGAGAAATATAACGGCTATCATTCGTGTGATACAAGAATATCCCAAACGCCATAATGTTCCATTTTGAATATAATCTATCCCGTTCTGGAAATGAGGTTCATGTTATTATCTCCACTCAATTCCATGTCATCAGCATGTTCATACATATTTCACTGAAAACTCAACCCAGTAGAACAAATGGATAACATCAAATGTAACGGATATATTGGGTTTCACCGGCAAGTGAAGTCACATCATTGTGGGGGAAATCATTAGAGTGGTTTTGGTGTGATTGATGATCGCTGAGGGATATATTGTATTGTATGAAGTTTCATGAAATCCAAAATTCTTTGGGATCTTTCACTTTCGTCACGCCAGGAATCACATTGCCAACTCTTTGATTGGAAATGAGCAGTGATATGAAACATTGTTTTGCTGACAGCAACATAATTGTTTTCAATATTGATTCACGAACATCAGATGAGAATGTGCATCTTCAAGAATAAATTTTGTTTTTCAATGAAGATCTGGAGAAAGTTCCAGCTTGTGGTGATATTAAATAAGTATAATTGAATGCTGAGGACAGAGAATAAGGTTGAGGAGATATCTGGGGACACAATTCAGCTTGGTTGCGATGATTGGTTTGTGTGTATTTGGAGAGATTGGGAGAAACCCTCCTCACACACAAATCTTTGAGCTCCTCAACTAAAAAGGTTCTCTTCAATGAACAGTCTCAACAAATTGTTTCTGATGTGAATTCCTGGGCACATTGGCTTCAACAGTAACGAAACTGCTGACTCTCTCGCACTGCAGGCGGTTTTTTTAGACCAAAACCTATCATTGGTATTCCATTAGGCCATAACGAACAGATACTGAACACCTAGACTACAAGAGAGTTTCAAATTTCCTGCAAAATCAACTGGATTCGTCCACTAGATATTTAGGGTCTCCAAAATCTAATATAGACTGCGTGTTCTTTAAAACGAGTTTCAAGAGCTCCTTAAGGATGACCGATGTACTTTTCGCCACAGTCCTTCATTTATTATTGGAGATTATACAGGGCTTTTCATGATGGGCGTTAATTAGCCGTTTCTGGCAAACTATTCAACGGATCAACCTGAAAATTCCACAGTATGCATAAGTCAATATGACCTACACGCCTAAAATATTTTAGACGAAGCGGCGTTGTCGCTTCTACTATAAAGTAGCGGCTTCTTTGATTTTTCAAATGGAACACCCCGTATATAATATCATATTATGATTCATTATCACTTTGTCAACAAATTCATATACTAT